TGTATGTGGGAGTGTGTGTGAAAAAAGCAGATGTAACCCCCTTTGTAATCCTTAACATTTTCATAAGTAACTGTAATTTAATTACATATTTTTTCTCAGTAACTGTAACTGACTGATTACACTTTTATTTTGTAATTAAATTACGTAATTCCGTTACATGTAACTAGTTACTCCCCAACACTGCTGATGCTGTTCAGTGAAGCTATGTGAACACAAATAAACTGCTGCAGACCCGACTGAATATGAATGCTTGTTATTATTCTAATCAAAATACCATACTTTACCGAATTATTATTTTGCACTCCTGACATAAATTAAGAAATTACTTTCACTGCAACCAAGTTTTATCATAAACAGTGGTCAAATATCGAAGCTGGAGTCTTTAATCTTTCTAATGATACACAGTTTGTCCACATCAGAGTGTGATGTTTTAACGTGCCGTGAATGATCTTTTTTAAGAGGTTAAACTACATATTGTCCTTTTGTTTGGTTTGCGCATATATTTGCTGATGTATAATTATTTAAAGGAAAACTACACTATTTAAAGAGTAATTAATTGCTAATAGAAATTATATTGTTACATTAACCAGAAACAAAAGTAAATAAGATTAACACATTTTACACTGAATTCCTTTTTTTTTTTTTTTGGTGTGCCACCCCAAGATTTGCTGTGGCCTCCTCTGGCCATCCCTATTAAAATTTTCTGGGGGCACTTCTGCCTTCTGTATGTGTACAGTATGTATATTGAGCACTGCTGTTCAGCTGGCTCGTTTGGGGCCACATTTCTTTTTATTTTTTATACATTTGTATTTTTGTAAAATATAAAACAATTTATTTTATTTGGATGTATTTGTCTGTCTTTTATCAGATTTACCAGTTGTTATCATTTCTAATTGTGCTGGTCAATTATGAACAACAGGTTAAATTGAACTGCTAGCAAAGAGGGGCCGCTGCTGCAAATATTTGAGTGGCTCCTCCCCTAGCAGATGTAACCTCACTCCAAACTTTTGATATAACTTGAGAGCCCTGACTTATAGCGCCTCACTGGATATATTATATAATAAAGATTTTCGCTGAATGCAGTTGGTTGCCCTTTATTTTAAACTTATTTATTGGGTTAAATTTAAATTTCTTAAATTTCTTCAATTGGGTTAGACTAGACCTATACACTATCCCCCGGTTTCACAGACAAGGCTTAATCCTAGACCCAGACTAAAATGTAAGTCTGAGCTGTTTCAACTGAAAGAAACTTGCACTGGTTGATCTTAAAATATGTCAGTGGCCTTGTTTTGTCTCAAGATCCACACCAGTAATGTGTTTTTTTTTCTAAGGCATGTTAATAAAAATGACTTAAATGTCCTAATTGAAATATGGCCTAATACTGGCTTAGTCTAAGCCCTGTCTGTGAAACCAGGCCTAAAAGTGTTAACATGCATTTAAAAAAAGGCTAAATTGCTTTGAGACCCAGAAATAAAGTTTCACCCAGAGGTGAACAATTACAACAAAAGCAGCATGAATCTGGAGATATGCAAGGTTTTATGTCTCATCCGCATTATCTCACCTGCGCAGAATATCCCAGAGGAAAATTGTTACTCAGAATCAGAGGTTGTGCTTTCATAGTTCAGGAAGCTTAAAAGAGAAATGGCCTTGTTCTCAAGATCCACACCAGTAATGTGTTTTTTTTTCTAAGGCATGTTAATAAAAATGACTTAAATGTCCTAATTGAAATATGGCCTAATACTGGCTTAGTCTAAGCCCTGTCTGTGAAACCAGGCCTTTATTTATTAAACGGCCATACAGGCATCTAGTGGTTAAACCATGGCATTACATGTGAATATTATTTTTCTCCGGCCACAAGATGCCCTATATCTGCCTCTTTGCATTGGAATTTATAAAAAAAATTCTCTTTTTTAACTTAAAATAATATACTAATTTAATAAAAAAAATAATAAGAAGCGGTCATGAAGTAATTACTTATTCAAATAAATTCCTACTCAAGAGGGTTTTGTCACCAAACCAATAATAAACTGTAAATTTGAAAATAAATGCAATATTTTGAATAAAAACATTCAATAGCATTACATATTTCCCACCCTTTTAATCAAGGAACTATGAAAATATGTAGTGAACATTATTTGGTTGTATATGTATGAGGAGGGGGTTATATATGAATCAGGATGTGGGTTATATGATGTTATACTTGTGTATGTTTGTCTGATGAGTGAATGAATCGATGTTCATCTGCTGTTTGTTTTGTATGTGCTACATTATGAAACCAGACACATTTCTCTACTCACAATCTTTATGATCTGTAGAAAAAATATCACAGTGATTTTTATTTAATTATTATTATTATTATTTCATCTTCAGGTGTTTTCATTCCTCAGACATGGAATCAGAATTGAACCAAAGACTGGAATTTAAAAACCAAATCACCATCAATATGAAGATCTTCAGTGTTAACTGTCATTGGTGAGTGTAATTCAGTCATTCAGTTCATTTCCCCTGAGCAACTATAGTTACACTTCAATGTTCAGTTGAGTTCAAAGTTTTAAATCAATACATGAAAAAAAGAGATAAATATAATGGCCACAATCACCTTTACATGCATGTCAAAATTATTAAGAGGACAAATACATCATTTTAGACTACAAGAACTTGACAGAATAGGAAAAAATACATATTTCTGATTCAGTTGAGTTTCAAAGTAGCATGTGCTTGGTCGAACAGGCGATATTAGTGAATCCTATGAGAACAGCAGCATCTATAGCACACTCTATCAGGTAGAAGTTGTGCTGTTTTTAGAGAGATGTGATATTCTGCTTTGAGCACCAGAGAGCGATGTTGTACTTGTGTTACATTTACCAAAGTATCCATCAGAGCTTATTGTGTGTGACATTGTAAAGAGGTGTAGCTTAAGTAGGTTTAGGGATGGGGTTATGTTTAGGATTAGGGCAGAGATGGGCAAACTCAGTCCTGGAGGGCCACTGCCCTGCAGAGTTTTGCTCCAACCCTGATAAAACTTACCTGCCTGTAGCCTTCTAGTTATATCCTGAAGACCTTGATTAGCTGGTTCAGGTGTGTTTAATTAGGGTTGGAGCGAAACCCTGCATGGACAGTGGCCCTCCAGGACCGAGTTTGCCCATCTCTGGGTTAGGGCAGTGGTTCCCAACCCTGGTCCTGGAGGCACCCCAACACTGCACATTTTGCATGTCTCCTTTCTCTGACACACCAGTTTCAGGTCTTGGAGTCTCTACTAATGAGCTGATGACCTGAATCAGGTGTGTTTGATTAAGGAGACATGCAAAACATGCAGTGTTGGGGTGCCTCAAGGACCAGGGTTGGGAACCACTGGGTTAGGGTATGGCTGAACCTTCTAGTTCCACTGATTCGCTCCAGAAAGGGACAGCTGGACATCAAACTCCACCCACTGGCTCTGTAGACAGCGGACAAATTTACTTCCACTTTTCATGGCAATGGAGTCGACATAGGGACTAAACACTTTTGTTTCAACAGAATCTGCATTCATTTCATTTCAGTGGAAAAGTGGTGAAAATGATCTTTATTTTACTCGCATTGACTGCATTATTTGTGTCTGGTAAGACATCTTTCTATTTGTTGCACTCTCATTTCCTGTAAATCAGTGCTTCTCAAACCTGTCCTGGAGGAATCCCAGCACTTGCATATTTTGTATGTCTCCCTCATTTAACACACCTGATTGAACTCATCAGCTCATTAGTAGAAAATGCAAGACCTGAATTGGGTGTGTCAGATCAGGGAGACATACAAAATGTTCTGGAGGTTCGAGAATCACTGCAGTAAACGACTAAAACAAATGGCGATGTGGCGCAGTTTCAGTGGTGCCATTGTTAACAGAAGATCACTTCTTCTTTTGGCTATAGGGAAATGAAGCCTTGGTTTCATTTTTGTCCCAAGCCTCCATTAATTTCTGATCCTGATGTGTGTGTGACGTGATGACGGGGGGTTTGCAAGAGGGGGTCCCTTCAAGACAGATAATAAAAGCCACTACTGGCTGTAGTCATTGTCTTATTAAATTGTATTGGACTTGTTTAGTTTGTTTTATGGAGAGCTCCTTATTCAGACTAATAAGACGAGACTGTTAACTACATCTCTTCCCTTTTATTATACACGTGTCATTAAATGTCTACGAATTTATAAAATTAATCTGAGATCATGTAATAAAAAATAAATAAATAAACATGTAGACACTAGTTCATGGGTTCACAGAGATCATCACCACCTAGCAGCAAATCACTGAAATTTTGAAACATTTCAAAACAGCTATGGCATAACAAAGTTCTTCTTGCATTATTGATAAACTATTTTAATACAATCAGTATAAAGCGCTATACAAATAAAGGTGACTTGACTGAAATAATGTGAGTTTGGTGGAATGATACGCAGCTGAACCACTGGTTCGAAACACATCTTTCAAAGGTTTTGAAGCAGCCTTCATTGACCAAGGGCTGCCCAAGAGGCCCTCTGACTGACATGTAAAGCAACCAATTAAGCAACTAATTTTCATGATCTGAAGAAGAAAAAAAAAAGAATTCACAGCCCTTTCCTGTTATAATTTTGTCCCACTATTCCAGGCCACATTTATAATGAACTGTTCATTTCTTCTCCAGGTGTTTTCAGTGTTGATACAGACAGAGTGACCATGATGGAGGGAGATTCAGTCACTCTACAGACTGGTGTTAAAACAAACCACCTAGAAGATATTAAATGGTATTTTAATGACATTCGAATAGCTCAAATCAATGGAGATCAGACTTATATCTGCACAGATGTTCAGTGTAATAAAGGCACTGAGAGATTCAGACACAGACTGAAGCTGGATCAGACGGGATCTCTGACCATCATGAACATCAACACCACAGACTCTGGAGTTTATGAGCTAAAGATCATTAATAACCACAGCATCAGTGAAAAGGCTTTCAGTGTTACTGTTCTTGGTGAGTCATTTCGTGAAACATTCATTAAATGACTCAAGCAGAAGCAGTTATGTTTAAATCATATTGATTTTTTTTCTTATCAAACAGAACAGTTTGAAAACTAAATTATTTCCATTGATGAGCTGATAGTTTTATAAATACGTTTTGGTTCAGAAAAGCTGTAGTCATGCGCTGGTGGACATAATCATGCCTTCTCTGATCTGTCAGCTGTTTAAAAAAAAAGATTTGATGTAATATAAGTATGTGAAATGTGTTTATAAGCACAATACATGCACAAATGTTGTATTGCACACTTAAAGTCAACAGTAAGAATGTGCAGTCACTTTCATGCCCACAGTTCTCGTGATGTATAGTTCCCCAAAAAAGTTCCTCCAGCAGCTGTTGGTTTGTTTTTCAGAAGTTCCTGCTGCTGAATTGGATGAAGTGAAGAGAAAGTCAGTGAAGGAGGGAGAATCTGTCACTTTAGATCCTGGCGTATTAAAAAGCCCAAATGATGTGATGGCATGGTTTTTTAATGACACTCGCATCGCTGAAATCACTGAAGATCAGCGTAAGATCTGTACAGATGATCAGTGTAAAGAGAGATTCAGAGACAGACTGAAGCTGGATCATCAGACTGGATCTCTGACCATCACAAACATCAACACCACAGACTCTGGACTTTATAAACTACAGATCACCAGCAACATCCGTCGTCATCGCCACAGCATCAGCATCACCAGTTGGAAAATATTTTTTGTCACTGTCACTGGTAAGTAAAATGTAGCCCTTTAGGGCCTTTGGCCATTAGGAATTTTAAAATACAGTTTGAAATGTTTAAATCGACCCAGTAAATGTTTGCACTGTGGCCTGTGTGGAAAAAGTGAACTTTGACTCAATATTAAAATTAGGGCTGTCAAAATTAACGGGCTGATTCAGTTTAATGCATTAAAATATTTAACACAATTAACCCAGCATCCATTATTTTCCTGGCATCCATTTATAGTACTCTAACAAGCTAACAAGTACAATAAGATGCAAAAAAGAAGTTAATTCAGCACTGGTGTGCTGTCTGCAGAGATTGAGTTCTCTTTCATGGTTAAATGGACAAAAATACACAGCATTATGTCAAAATGCCAGTTTTTGGCGAGTGATCTGAGTTAAATTAATAAAAAAAAGTCCTAAATGACCGCAAAGAGCTGAAAGACAACCGGATGTGTGACAGAGTTGTGTCAGGATTTAAAGAGACAGCACTGCTTTTAAAGTGAAACCTGCTGCAGTTTTGTCATTGATGTAAATCAAACAACAAAAGTAAAAGAGAAACCACTCACTGTTCTTCGTTGTTTAATGTTTGTAGCTTGAATAAAGAATAATCTATATTAGATTTATAGTTCATGCAAATCTAGTTTATGTGAAGGTTGCTTTAAGTTCAATTAAAATGAAAAGTTATGTAGCTCTGGGAAGGAGCTCCTAGTATCCCTCGATCATACTTAACATGAGCTCTGACATACCGCACATGAAAGAACAATAGCGACACTAACAAAACAGAAGATAAGTAAAGCTTGACTCGGAGAGCTATGTCACACACAGGGGAGTGCCATCTTGGATTGTCTGTCTTTGTCATTGCAGATTTTGCTCTGTCTTCAGCTGCCGTAGCAGGAATATGTGTTTGTGTTCTGCTGCTTGTTGCTGCAGCAGCTGCTGCGATTTACTATGGCAAGCATCAAGCAAAAAGAGACAGTGAGTATCACATACAGATAATTGAACAAGATAGAAATTGCACGAAAGCAATTTTTGAAAAATGTAAAAATATGTATTTCTATCTTAATTAACCAAAGTAATGTGTTGAATTGAGTTTGGTATTGTTCAAACAGGCAGCAGGAGGCAGCACAGTGATCAGGTGAGATACTATGTGAGCACAGTTCAAGCACCTCAGATGTCCAATGTTTGAAACCAGGACTCATAATAATAAGTCACATTATTTGTGACATTTGATATTTATTATCTGTGACACATTTTGTGTTTTTGTCAGTCATTTTAATAGAACCATCAAACTTCTTCCTAAATAGTTTCCATACTACTCTAAAAAATATGCTTCAGACATTGTCACTCAAACATTGTATAACTGTAGTACAGAAGACCACAGTGTGATGCAGTTTATTAGACTGAAGATTCATTGTATTTAAGATATTGTGTTAAATATTTAGGAAAAGAAGCCCTGTGTGCATTCAGTGAACATCAGGAAAAAGCACCATGTGTTTGTAACCGAATCATCCTCATCATTATTCATCATGTGAATCTGTGTTTTATTACAGGAGAGATATTTAAAAGACTGGTCCCCTAAAATGTCTGACTCTCCATTGATGGAAACTGCTAAAGAGACGTCCCCTGATGTGCTGCTAATCAGACACCAATGAAACATTTATTATTTTGACTTTAACTGAAAGGGACAGTGAATAAAAGGTAAGACACATGAGAACAGAATCATGGCTCTCAAAGAAACTGTCACCAAACCAAGATTCCAGTATTTGGAATCAATGTCAAATTTTACCTCAACATAAGAGCAAAAACTGAATTATTATAATTCATTCTAGTCATGTAAATAAAAATGAAAACATATTTCAAAATAAATAAACTGCATGCCAGTAATAAAATGAGGAACAAAGCAACTTTGGACTAACAAAAGAACAAGGAGCGCTTGACTTTTCACTAAAGCTGCTACTGTTTCTTGTCATTTCCACTATAACACCTATTAATGCACTGCTGGTTCGACAAATCAATGACTATGTTAAACTTTACCTCATGTAAACACAATACTTTGATCAAATTGATGCAATTAAGCTGATAATCGTAGTAACCATTATCACATTAATATATGTGGCGTATGCTGATTTTAAGTGCAATAAACAGGCATGTAAACATTAACACTTCACTCTGACCACAGTGTGCATGCGTTACTGATGTACACTGATGACGTGGTCATACATAGATTTGTAAACATGGCAGTAAAGCCCTGTCCCAAATGGTACACTTTATATGCACTTAGGGTCTTGTGAACTTTCAATGGCTGCAGTATATTGATGCTCGAAAACATTGCAATTAAGAATTTTTAGGTGCATCACCCAAAAAAATTCAATGCATCCAAATGGAGACTACAAACACTGAGGTTTTTCAGATTTCGCAGTGTTCTCTCCATAATTATGACTCTTGGCAGCCTTTAGCCACTGTCTTAAATGCACTGGATCCTTCACTGAAAGAACTGAAAATAACTCACTCCCAATAAATATTTACAAAATATTTTTTGTGCCCGGAAACAATCCAAGTCAACATTACTGTGACTAAAAGTTTGCTAAGAAGTATTTCCTACCAAAGCGAGGTGGTGTTTAACTCTGAACAAGCCCATCCATGCCTTAACATGCCCAGTGCATTATGGGTTTTGTTGCCGGAAAACATCAACAAAACCCATAATGCACTGGGCATGTTAAGGCATGGATAGGCTTGTTCAGAGTTAAACACCACCTCGCTTTGGTAGGAAATACTTCTTAGCAAACTTTTAGTCACAGTAATGTTGACTTGGATTGTTTCCGGGCACAAAAAATATTTTGTAAATATTTATTGGGAGTGAGTTATTTTCAGTTCTTTCAGTGAAGGATCCAGTGCATTTAAGACAGTGGCTAAAGGCTGCCAAGAGTCATAATTATGGAGAGAACACTGCGAAATCTGAAAAACCTCAGTGTTTGTAGTCTCCATTTGGATGCATTGAATTTTTTTGGGTGATGCACCTAAAAATTCTTAATTGCAATGTTTTCGAGCATCAATATACTGCAGCCATTGAAAGTTCACAAGACCCTAAGTGCATATAAAGTGTACCATTTGGGACAGGGCTTTACTGCCATGTTTACAAATCTATGTATGACCACGTCATCAGTGTACATCAGTAACGCATGCACACTGTGGTCAGAGTGAAGTGTTAATGTTTACATGCCTGTCTGATGGGCTGCTAATCAGACACCAATGAAACATTTATTATTTTGACTTTAACTGAAAGGGACAGTGAATAAAAGGTAAGACACATGAGAACAGAATCATGGCTCTCAAAGAAACTGTCACCAAACCAAGATTCCAGTATTTGGAATCAATGTCAAATTTCACCTCAACATAAGAGCAAAAACTGAATTATTATAATTCATTCTAGTCATGTAAATAAAAATGAAAATATATTTCAAAATAAATAAACTGCATGCCAGTAATAAAATGAGGAACAAAGCAACTTTGGACTAACAAAAGAACAAGGAGCGCTTGACTTTTCACTAAAGCTGCTACTGTTTCTTGTCATTTCCACTATAACACCTATTAATGCACTGCTGGTTCGACAAATCAATGACTATGTTAAACTTTACCTCATGTAAACACAATACTTTGATCAAATTGATGCAATTAAGCTGATAATCGTAGTAACCATTATCACATTAATATATGTGGCGTATGCTGATTTTAAGTGCAATAAACAGGCATGTAAACATTAACACTTCACTCTGACCACAGTGTGCATGCGTTACTGATGTACACTGATGACGTGGTCATACATAGATTTGTAAACATGGCAGTAAAGCCCTGTCCCAAATGGTACACTTTATATGCACTTAGGGTCTTGTGAACTTTCAATGGCTGCAGTATATTGATGCTCGAAAACATTGCAATTAAGAATTTTTAGGTGCATCACCCAAAAAAATTCAATGCATCCAAATGGAGACTACAAACACTGAGGTTTTTCAGATTTCGCAGTGTTCTCTCCATAATTATGACTCTTGGCAGCCTTTAGCCACTGTCTTAAATGCACTGGATCCTTCACTGAAAGAACTGAAAATAACTCACTCCCAATAAATATTTACAAAATATTTTTTGTGCCCGGAAACAATCCAAGTCAACATTACTGTGACTAAAAGTTTGCTAAGAAGTATTTCCTACCAAAGCGAGGTGGTGTTTAACTCTGAACAAGCCTATCCATGCCTTAACATGCCCAGTGCATTATGGGTTTTGTTGATGTTTTCCGGCAACACTTTAAAATACTGTTCTGTCATTAATGAATAACCTACTGATCTGTTTAACATCATTATTTTGACTTGTCTGTTTAGATTTTGAAATAACAAATATAACTGTCTACATGGATACCTTGCTGCATTCACTGATTTATTTGAAAGTTGCTGAAACACTTTACTGATAAAACTGGTATGTTGCACGTCTGTAACTGGACGCATGATGCAGGTGTTGATTGTTGTTACTCTGGTGTTACGCTTCAGCTTTTTTTGTCAAGAGGTGCTACAGTACAGTTTCTACGCAAATGTCAGATTACTTGGAAAAACGATAACAATCATTTTAGCTGCCATTTTTATATCTTATAGTCTTCTTTAACAGTCATTTTTATATCTTGTAGTCTTAATACATTTGCTTTTTATGTTATCATCTTTGTTGAAATGTGCAAAACTGAATCATAAAGAAATTATAAACGTGTTCTTACCTGATAAATGTGAAAATAAATCATTTGTGAAATTTCATGAAGTGATGATTACTTTATCTCGCTGTTATTTCGTTTAATTTGTTGTCATTGCCTGTGAGGTGGCAGATGAAAACAATGGTAAACAATAATGCTCCATATCATCTGTTGTTACATCTTGAGTATTTTATGTTAAAGAAAATTTTATAACTGTATTTTATGTTTTTAAAAATATTGCATTATGTATAAATATATGAAGAGTTCAAATGCAAAAGCCTCTAAGTGCCATCTGAAATTTTCTTCTAAAATTAAAATTTTTATCAGGCTCCTATGATTAGGTTCAGTAATTTTAGAAATTTTCATGTGTGTGTGTGTGTATATATATATATATATTCTTTTTCTTTTTTTAATGGTGCTGTTGAAAGCTACACTACGCATAAAATAATTTTTTTACATTTCTTTCCTCATGAATTTGATGCACCAATCTATATGCTTATAGACATGTTGGGGCTGTTGGAGAAAATATATAAATTACACAAACAAATAAAACATTATCAAAATAAACCATGATTGCATAACAGAGTATTATGCGGATAAATCCCAAAATTATTCATACTCATATAGAGTTGTGCAGTGTGGGAGTAACTTAAGCATGATGCTTTGACGTCACAATCGTGTTGCATTGTGGTATACGGAGCTCTCTGAAGTGTACATACAGTGTACTCGCGCTCTCGGTCAAAATCGAAGGGACGAGGGTCTGTCTATATAAACGTCCCTCATCCACTTGAGGAAGTGGAGCACACTTCAAAATAGCGCCTGGGATTCCCCTAGAAGGAAGTGCTTAGGGAAGTTTGCAAGTGTGTGTTTAGAAGTGGAAGGCAGCCGTGAAGACTTAAGGTGGGCTCTTTTTGGACAGTAAACAACCAACCACCAAAAGCACCTTATAGTAACCACATAGTAAAATACTAAAAACCACTACACCTTATAACCACAGATTTGTTAAATACATTTTATACTTCATTTTAAACAATGGTTTTATGTTTACCATCACCCCGTCAGACTTCATCAGCAGTGTTTTGTTCCTTGATAATGGTTTGTTTTCCTCAGGTGACAATTCATGAAGAGCAGTTACAGATTTCGATCATCCCTCAGATTTTCAAGTTTGTATCTGGACATTAACTCCATCAAGTTCCCTTAAGGTGAGATTTTCTGTCTACATCTGTCTTTGACTCATCTTTAACATTATGGGGTTCAGCTTTGTCCTCTTGACTGCTAAAACGGTTCTGCTGACCAAACAAGAACTGCTGATTACAAAATGAACATTGTTATTGTTCACTTGATTTGCTGTATGAATTGAGTTTAATAATCTTAATTGTGGACTATGTCTATGTGTGCATTTTCCTATCTCTTTGGGTGTTGCACAAATCCTTTGGGAAACTTGCGTAAGAATGAATTAGTGGAAAATAACATTGGTTATAAGGAAATTCGCCAGTAGTTTGAGGCAAGTCTTAGTAAGATAATCATAGAATTATTGATTCAACTGACAAGTGAAAAACTGCATCATTCAAGAATGAAATACCAATCTGTGTTATTGGAAAACTGTTCTGCTTTGTTTAACTTTTGTTAGCAAAGTATTACTTTATTGTTTCTTGAACTGTTGTATAAAACTTTAGTACATCAACAGTTGTATTTTAAGTTGTTTTCTGTAAAGTAGAAGTCAAACTGTGAGTATCATGAGCAGGAATGGAAAAAAACACACACCTTCAACCACACGTTGTTCACACAGACACACTCCTGACACCTCAGACGCACTCGCAAACCGACATCAAACACCAACGTCTAGCAGTAGACATGCTCATACAAAAACCTGTCTGTTCAGAATGAGTTCACTTTGACTACTTTTGATGAGTATTTTGTATCTACATTTTGCACTTGTAGATACACACACAGTTTTGAGACTTTAAAGGGATAGTTCACCCAAAAAATGTCTGTCATCACATATTCACCCTATCATTCCAAACCCATAAAA